ATATGCAATAAATAAACATTATATACAGAAATAATTAATAATCAGCAATTAAGAAAATATTATCTGAAAGAATTTAATCTACGAATGAAACTATAAATTTGTATAAGGTTCTTCAGCAATAATAGGATATTACTTTAGAAAGTAATATACAAAAAAAAAAGTAAAAAGTTAAAGTGTTACCTGGAAAAAAATTCATTTGCAACTTATAATAATTTTACATAATGATGTAATTAATCTCCACTGATTTTAATGGAATTGGTTCATCATTTTACAAGCTCTGAATTCCGAAAGAAAGAATTTGATATTGTGAACAGCCACTCTTACAATGACTTCCTCGTATCAGACGTTTCTGGCCTCTCAGTATTTCATTTAATGGATTAAAAGGATAAAAATTGTTAAGAATTAGATCGAAACTTATGATCCAAATATTTAGAATCTAGAATTATTCACACGCTTTTCTATCAACTTTTGTGGAACTCAACGGGCACAAACTTTGTGGATGATTAAGGAAACTTAATCATGACAATCATTAATATTTAAAATATTTGAAATTTCATTAATTTTGACGCAGCAATTTTCTATTTATCTTTTCAACTGGCTGAATGTTTAAAGTAGGGTTGCCAAACATCTTCCATTGAACTCTATTATCCTTCTGTCCTCCTTTTATCGACAATGTCCTCTTTTTAAATACAATTCTTAATTGCTTTCGTTTAATTTTACGTTATTATCTCTAAAATATTACGGACAGACGAGGTACCAATTTTCTTTATTTTCTTTTCTTATTCTAAAATAACATTTTCGTCTTTGATACTCACTAGAGTAACGGAAGGAGAAAGAAACTACTATTAATCAGAGTGGTATAAGCAATTAAAATTTAGAAACTGAATTAGAGTGACGTTGGTAATAACTCTAACATTGAAAAGTGAATTTAAAAGCCTATTTATTGTCTGTTTAATGTTTCATAATTTACAATTAGTCAACAAATATTTTTATAAATGCAAACTACTTTGTTATATGTCCTCTATTGTATAATGTCAGTGCAATGTCCTCCTTTTTTGTTACAAGAAAGTTGACAACTCTACTGTTAATACAAAATAAATTATTTATGCCTTAACTGTACTTGCACAGTATTTGCGCAGTTTTTTTGATAAAGATCAAAAAATTTTCTTTTCTTTTATAATATTTCTTTTAATCTGGCAGACAGTAAGTTCATTTACAACTCTCATCGTATTGCTATTGTATTCTACGAATAATGTTATCAGTTTCGCACCCTCTAAGTGTAAAAACTGTTTACAGATCGCATCTCTTCCTTAGTGCAGACAATGGAGCAAATTTTCAAATATTGAAAAAAAGCAAACAATAATGCAAATTGAATAATAAATGTTGAAGTGAGTATGAATCAACTTCACAAAATTAACATAACTCTTTACTATGCTGAATAATGGGAAGTTTTCTAATTTAACTTTAGATGTATATCACTACTTTGAAGCGATCTACTGTTTTTATTTTTAAACAACTTTACAATTTAAGTTATTCGTATATATTTTTGTTATTATAAATTGTATTTTTACTTTTAAAACAGATAAATATTGTGAATAAAGTATAATTTTAGTAATATTTAAACAATAACAATTTATCTTCTTAGCAACAGAAATGAGTTAATTTTTTAAACTATGAATATGATAATTCAAATATTTTAAAATATTTTTGTCATTATAATAAAAATGCAACTTCAATATAAGTAAATTAGGAAAAAAATTCAAGTAAATAAGGAAGAAACCTGCGGGTCAGAATGAGTAATCAATTTAAAGTTAATTTTCATTACTTCATTCATAATTCACTATCTTAAAATATAACACAGGAAAATGCTATTACTTTATTCGTTACGTTCAGAATTAAAACGTAATTAATTTTCATTTTTTTAAATGCTTTTATCTCGCTTTATATCATACCTTCAAATCTTGCAACTTAACTTTCATCCATTTTTAGTTAAAATAGGAATGTTCTTAAAGTTTCAGCCTTACGTCTGATGACGATGCATGTTTTAGGGAATAGTCCCATCTCCATCATCCTCCCATTCCAAAACTCGACAAACATAATCTAATGTAAAATTTAAGTATGCGTGTATGGGAATCATCACAGAATCCTACGAGACAAAACCTACCAAGACAGGATTCCACCATCCTATTCTGAACCGAGTCGATAGGTGAGTCGAAGAGTCAATCGCTTCAGGCGATAGAACTTATATAACGCCGAAAGGAGCGATCAAACTTTTGATTTTGTGCATTAAATGAGAACTAATTACTTTATGACTAAAACTAAAAACAACGGTAGGCTATTTACAGTCCTAACAAGAATGAATACCGAATTTCAAGTTAGTTTTTCAGTATAAAAGTTATCAAAACGACGATTTAATGTTTCTTTATTTAATTTTTTGACATCGAGCCTTAATAGCTGCTTGGAGCGTTGTTACAACCCCCATTTGCTTCTATTGAAGTCCACTACTGATTGGACCCTGCAACAAGAGTCCAGGGCCTTTCTAGATTTCTGAAAGGTCGTGTCAGTAACTTTTATGGTGCAACCGATAGGAATAATCTTGAACAAAATTAGTAATGGAGTATTCAAATCACAGAAATTATTCTTACAAATAATTCTTTCTACACCGTATTCAATATATAAGTATATTCAGGAGTTATCAGCATTGAATCAATCAATAATTACATGATTTAATGCAATTTTAGTATCATTGTGCGGTACTACAAAACACTTACCATTTTATTCATTGTATCCCACATTTACCGAACGAAATCTAAATAGAATAAAACACTGATAATCTGAAGCAACTCAAAGATATGAATTGATCATTTGAAAAAAAATTGCAAATTAAAATATGCTAGAATTTGTCATCACAACCTTAACAAACAAAAATATAATGCAAATCATCAAGACAATCCACCCTATTAATCACGTATATAATCAAAATTATATAATGTTGATATATGTAAGGTCTGTTAAGAAATTGTAACACCGTAAAGATTTCTTTTAAATTTAATAAAAAATACATTATTATATTCATGTTTGCCACAATAAAAAAAAGTAAATTTTATAACTAAAATTTTTAAAAATTTATTTTATTTGCAGTATTTATTTTTATTTTGATTCTTACCGTTCTGCGAGCACTAAGAGGGCCTTTTTTTCAAGCCCATAACGGTTGTGTCGATGATGACAGACGGGGCACAATATATCCGGAATGGACCACCTCCGGAAAAATTTCTGGAATTTTATCGCGGGTAATGAGGAAAAATTGAAACTTGGTTAATTAATCGGGGTTCCACTATTTGAGTTTCTTAGGACGAGTTTAGCCGGCTGCTCTAGAACAGTCGAACAGAAAAGAGTAATTGTAGAGCACTCTACTCGCTCCTTTCTGTTCGACTAGTCAGAGTAGAGTAGTTGTTTGGGTCACTCTCCTACTGTGATTAGTTGATTGCTTTCGGAGTGATGACCATTGTTAAAACCCTACTACTAATTTTGCTAGGGAAATCGCGTTAAATCATCTAAGGTCGGTTATTTATAGGTTTAACTTATGTTTACAATTTAAAAAAGACTAAATTGTCGATTTGCACCGTTTCCTTTCCTTATTACGAAAAATAATGAATATTGATCCTCCGTAATATTATGTGACGATTTTACTTTTATGATTAGCTCCTGAAATCTTCAGTAATTATCTATTCATAGAGTGGTCATATCTCGGAATCAAACCTCCTTTTAAACTGTTTTTACAATATGGGTGCTAAGAAGGTCTTTTTTTTTAGCACGCCCGTTATGAGTTCGGCCAGGTTTACAATTGGGAGGCCTGGTAGCGACGGAGAGGACTGACCATTCCCCGAAAAACTCTCGATGCTTTATACCAATTAGGATTCGATTCCGGGTCCCCAAAGAGGTAGGTTGCCACCTTTACCACTCGGCCACCCGTCCGTTAGAATCAACTCTTTAGAAGTTGGTAATCGAGTGATGAGGGATGGGACCGACATATCCGGTCGGATCACACCCCAGAAAAATTCCTGAGAATTTTTCGACCCGTCCGGATTCGATCCCGGATCACCCAGAGCGGTAGACTGCCAGCTTGACCGCTGATAATACTGAAAAAATGGAGGCTGTAGTCCACAGTGTCGCGTGCCGGAGCCTGCAACATAAAAGAATATTACAGTTACAACTACAATTAGTATTTTTTAAATGATTAAATGAATATTATTTCATTTTTATTTACAATTTAATTTATAGATGTCTATAATAGACCTCATAGTTATTATATAATTCCAAGTTTTTAAGAATAGATAGGATCGCAAATTACTTTCAGTTCACGATTTCAAAAAAAAAAAAATCTGTTACTGTTTACTACAAATCCCATGAACTCGAATTTAAATTAAATTAAATTTAATTTAAAAAACGAATTTAAAATTACAATAACTCGAATTTTTGGGTGCTTCTAAGTAAGAAGCTGTTAAGTAAGCAAACCAATGGCATAATCCTTTTTATACGAAACGGGTTGGTTTCGTTCAGTTCGTTTCGTTAATAACTTAATGTATTTGAATTTTGATATTATCAATTCTTTCAATATATCTATTTATGTATTAATGTATAATATAATACGAGTAGAAATAACATGACGAAAATCAGTGGTGACATTGCGAGTTTAGCCAAGTTGGCTAAGTAATCCAAAAGCAATCGCACAATCATGAAATCATTTGCCAATTTCTTTTAAAATTGNACATTAATAACGTCTTTTTAAAATATTTTGCTTCTTCAGTATAAAGTTAATCTCGGATAAATTAATTGAACGTTTCCTTATGCTAAATAATAATCTATTTTAAGTAAATATTAGGTTACCCTTTCATTAGAAAATTCAATAAAATTGCTTTCTTCATCATCTTCCAATCCCTTCTTCGTATCGAAGGCCGTCATCCCGATATTTGTCATAATGAGATCGATATTATTTCGCCGTAACAACTATTTTTTTCTTTTTTCGACTGCTTTAAATACAGCAATGTACGTTATAAACGGCCTCGATCTCTATTTATAAAATAGAGAGGCCCGAGAACGGGAACGTATCGGCGAAGAAAGAGAATAAAATCAGCTGTTAAACGATTACATTCGTCACCAAATCAGAAAAGAAACCAAACAATAACTTCACGCTGTACATTTCACACACGTCATAGGACATCTGCAGGAAATTCAAACAACCAATCACTGCAAAATGACGTAGCCGAATTTTCGGGAAACAGAACGGTGATTGGTTAACTACACACTACAACTAATTTATTGTTAATTTAAAAAAAAAAAATGTAGTTTTATTTGCGCTTTATCATTCTATTACCTTTTTTGAAGGTGTAAACTTATCTTAATTAAATTTAAAAAACGAATTTAAAATTACAATAATAACTCGAATTTTTGGGTGCTTCTAAGTAAGAAGCTGTTAAGTAAGCAAACCAATGGCATAATCCTTTTTATACGAAACGGGTTGGTTTCGTTCAGTTCGTTTCGTTAATAACTTAATGTATTTGAATTTTGATATTATCAATTCTTTCAATATATCTATTTATGTATTAATGTATAATATAATACGAGTAGAAATAACATGACGAAAATCAGTGGTGACATTGCGAGTTTAGCCAAGTTGGCTAAGTAATCCAAAAGCAATCGCGCAATCATGAAATCATTTGCCAATTTCTTTTAAAATTGAAATTATAAAATACTCTTTCATCCGGAAAATTTAATAACATTATTAATGGATTATTACATAATGTATTACATTTACTTTCTTATAATATTGTAACAATTTTTAAAGAAACGGGATATAATATACCGAATCCTATTTTTTTAAATTGAATAATCCTACTTTTATAGGTATGAGAATTATAAATATTTATAGAAATTAAGTGTGAAAATACTTTATTTCTTCTATACAAGACTTTGTATATTAAAATATGTATTTTGTTTTAGAAACTATAATAATTCCAAAATTAGTAAATCATTTTATACCATAGTAATAATCTAAAAAATGTCGATTTTCTAAGTTTTAATAACATATAAAATAAGTAGCGCATTTTAATGAAATTCAAATCTTTTTTTCTTTTTTAATACTAGTAACCTCCCGTTTTCTAAGGCCGGATGGCCGAGCGGTTAAGGTATTAGCCTACCTCTCTGGGGATTCGGAAAGGAATCCGACATGTCAAAAAATCCCAGGAATTTTTGACACGTAGGATGACCTGCCCGAACATACGATGAGTGCCATAAGGCAGAGAGTAGAAAACCGCCTTTTTTCTGACTCTTCTATATTTTCTTGTATTAGATTGAGGTATTGTAGAGTTACTTTATATCCACAATAATTGTAAGAATCGAATTTGTGATAATTTTTCTATTAAAAAAAATAAATAAAATTACGATTTTTACTATTAAATGTTGCTGGGAAAGTTGAGCAACCCAGTTGCTGGTTCATTTATATGGTCTGTATTTGGTATATATTTCTGCCAGTCTGTTTTGATTCTGTTTTAATTATAGGAAATTGCAAAATAACTTTGTCATGACACTATATTCATACTTAACATATCACCTAAATAGATGCTTTCACTTAGAAGATTCCCGGTTGGCACGCTTTAGCAGATCGCCCTCGAGTTGCATTATCTTATCTTCTCGGACTAAACTAAAACTGTTTCTAGTTCAAGGAGAAGAAATAATTTCATACACTGAATCTTTAGTAACAATATCTCGTTGCAATAGTTAATTATATCATTTGTTTACGTGATGTTTTAAGCATTGATAATCGTGAATTGCTTAGATTTTACTCACGTATCATTTAATCATGAAATGCCAAATTGTAAGGTGTAGATAATTTACTTTTGATATGTCAATTAGAAAATAATTAAATAATATAAGATTTATTATCATAGGAATTATGCTATTTTAGTTTTATGCTGGAATAAAATATATTGCAATATATTTTTAAACATTAATTAATTGTGTTACAGTTTACAGTGCCATTACTGTGTACGTGCAAATTATACACTTAATAAACACAAGGATACTCCGATATATTTGAGTCATTTGAATGAAAATCTGAAATGTTAGACTGATTACGTGCTCGGTGGTTCAACAAACATAATCGTAACAATAAAAAAATGTCTTTGAACTATTTGTATAAATTAAATATACTATTTGTTTTTTTTCTGTTTTTTTTTTATTCTACCCCATCAAAAGAGTTAATGCCATACTTCCTTTTAAGTGACTAATTTGGCTTACAGCAATCTGTAAATAAACTAACTGCTGGCAATAAATTCATGACTTGTTTTCTTGCATCAATGTGTAAAAAAACCACTTAAATAATCGATGACGTAAATGCGTAATGTTACATCATAATTAAAACATTAAAAATAAAAATTTTAAATTTCCTTTTCAATTTTAACGTTTAACGTTTTAACAATGGAATTGTTAATACTTTAAAATCAAACCTCTTTAAGTAAAATTCGTAATATATTATTTTATTATTATTTAACATTGTTAATATATATGTAGATAATAATTATAATAATAATATATTTTTATTAGTAGTAATAGTAGATTACGGTGTCAGCAAATACCACTTAAAACGAAATTCCGCGTAAATTTGTGCTCCAATCCAAGTACAATACTCCCAGATGAATGTCTATATACTTATGCAGCCATTTACGGTTAATAGAAAAAAACGTTAAATTGTATTTAAAGTGTTTCGCTTGTGTTTTTTAAAGATGTATATTCTGAGTATCGATGTGTGCATTATCCCTTTGTATCCGAAGGACCGAGGCAATTAATATAAATAATAAACAAATATATAAATAGACTGACTGATGGTAAAAATAGTAAAGGCGTTAGTTTTCCGCTCCAGGAGGACCAGTGGAAGTGGATAAAACCACTGAACACTGGTAGTTGGTCGTGGGTTCGCGCTTCGCCAACGGGTTGGCACCTGAAGTTTTCCGGATTTCTTCACATTTGTAACATCTAAATAGGGGCCAGTTTACCTTAGAATATTCTCCTGGGAGACATATTTCCGGGAGACTCACCCATCGGTAGATTTCCTACATGTCACGTTGCCATAAATCTGTAGGAAGACCAGGAGCGCTCGTACATTGGGGCACTTGGGCCACGTTCCACTCTTTTTGTCTCGGCTGCCCTTTTCCTAATCCCCAAGGGGGACCCAAACATCAGAAAATTCGTGATGTCTAACCTATTCTGCAAATAAAAAAGAAACTAACGAACGATATTTGTCCATTGACCCTGCAACTTCGTCGAATGTTTACCAAAACCCCATTTCTTGTTTTCAAGGCCAAGTTAGTCCTGAGTGAAACCACGTCACCGTGTGGGAGCGCTGATCCGACGATGAATCATAGAGTTTGAAGCTCTTTGCGTAATGTACGATGCCTTTTTTTATAGCTTGTCCCCCCTTTTTTCGTTGTCTGCTTAGGAGAATCTGGATTGGAGTATGGGCCAGTCTCAGGAATTTTTATGATTTTCATTTCATTTGGATTCTTTCCATCTAAGGGCACTAAGAGGGCTTTTTAAAAACCATACTAATTATGGGTTCGACCAAGTTCTCATTAAGAATGGCAGGATGGTGAAGAACAAGGCCCAACATAAGCTGAGATAGATCGACCATGAAAAGCTCCTGGGTTTTTCGACCGCCCGGGTTCGATCCTGAATCTCCTGGGATGGTCCCAGGGGATTCAGGATTCAGACTGACACTTATATCGCCTTGCCAGGCACCCCCATTATAGGTCTAGGCGAGCTCATGATGAATATGGAAAAGAGCTTTCTTATTGTCTATTAGCCTATAAAATATTTTTAAACAAATTCTAACTTTATTTTCATATTATTATTTATTAATTATGTAATATAATATATATTAAAATATTTTATTGTTTTCTATTATTTCACAATGCTTAAATAAACATTTTTTGTGAGATTTATTTTCACAAATATGTTTATATTACTTAATATTTACATTCAATGTTAAATACGTTTTTTTATATTTTCATATTAAAGTTAATTTAAGTTTTCTGTTAGAATTAATTATCAATAGATACAAATGATACTGTGAGATCAGCCAAGGGTATAGGTAGATTCCCTATATCACTTACTGGCCACGATCGTGAGATCGGTTCTCTAAACTTTCATAGGAGAGCGATAACCGCTAGTTCATCCGAACCGCGAAGTTCAGATGCTCGTCAGGACTGACACCAGTTTGTCAATTAAATTCCGCGGACAAACACGCGTGTGAGATCTGATTCGACACAGAATAAAAGGACATTTAATTATAAACGAAATAATAAATTTAATAAAACAAGAAAATAAATCATACAAAAATCTCAGTGAATGAGAGATAGAATTACCACCAATAACATACAAATCGAGAGATAGCTATACTTATCTTCTACCAAATTCGCGATCGAGAGAGAGAGAGCTCACAAAATCGTTATAAAACATACAACCTGTTTCAGTGGTCGTTAGTCTTCTTCTCTGTAGGCAAAGGACACTTTGTTGATAAAGTTCATTTACTTCTTCGTATGGAAGATCAATATGTGCACAAAATCAAAGTATATTCACTAAGTTCAGACTCGGGACTTAGTCTATGGGACTCGTTTAAGGGCGTTGGTCATCAGGAGGAAAACTGTGTGGAGTTTGGACGCTTCGGATCGGTCGAAGAACTCCTCAAATTCGGACTGATTTCTCTTATATCTCAAGATTTTCGACCAATCATCTGCTTGAAATTCGTTCATGTGAACGGATGAAAAGGGGGATCAAAGAGGGGTAGATAGTTCCCATCCGAGTGAGATTTTTAACGGATAAGGGAAAGTCAGAGGATGTTCTCTTCTGTGAAAGGAAGTAACATCTGTTATCTGGGTTTTTCCCACGTTAAAACAGTATTTTTCTCACAAAAAATAAAGTAATATTTTGTGACAATATTTTAACATTATCAATAAAAATTATTAAAAAGACCCAGGGGCCTTTTGGGTCTCACAATACTGTATTAACAAATGGCTAAATATATATGACTTATTTTCATTTCGGTTCCTTTTTACACATTCGAATTTCATTAATTTTACAGCAAAGCAACAAACACAATGTTTTAATGTTGTGTTTTATATTTATACTGTAATTACTTCCGAAAATGATAATTTGCAACGTAACAACATGGCAACTGCGTTTAAATATGATAATACAAGTTGAACCTCATTAATCCGGCATTCCGTGGTCCGGCACGTTTTGGATCTATTGCCATTAGTTTGTAGATCTGTTATGACTGTTTATTTTATAAACAAAATACGAATTTAAAAAATAAACAAAATAAACCAAAGTTTTTGTAATTTTGTTACAGTTTAATAATAGAATATGTAAGACCGTGAAGATAGTGGATTTGGGAGTTTTAATTGTCGTGAATTAAATAGAAAAATGTTACTACGTTAATAAATACTATATTGTATATAAAGAAAGTTATTATGTAATCGTTCAGTTCCTCTTTAGTCCACTGAATTCTGTTACTCTATATACCCGTAATTGTAAAAATTAAACATGTTATGAAAAAATAATTTTTTAACCTCATTCTTTAAAAAATCCTGTACACAAACCCGAGAATCTGGTTGACTCGATGCCAAAAAATAACAATTTAAATTAAAATAAGAGAACCCTTTAATGCGCTATAAAGCATGGATGTTCAACATGTATTTTAAAATAACCATTTAAAACGAATTAAAGGGGTTAAAAGTGATCAATACACGAGAAAGATTGGGAACTCCTGGTAGATTTGATATAGGGTATATATATTTTTTTCGTTTATATTTACATCAAAATTCTAGTGTCTTGGCTTACTGCACTGCGGAAATTTGCGGTATTATAATTACACCATTATCGATAAACGAATAAAAATAATTTTTACAAATCGATATATGGGTGTGGTTAGAGATTCAGAATTGGACGACATCCAAAATTTAAAATTAATGGGCATTTTTAAACTGAATTTTCCTGTTTATACTTTTGGATAATATACAAAATTATGAAATGACCAAGTTTAAAGTTATGTAATATTTGCAAATGTGCTGAGTAGATAATAACTAATTGCTGTATTGTAATCTGTATTAATCAACATTAATTTGATACGGTGGATGTTAAGTAAATTTTGATTGCATGCAATTTTCATTTATTCAAACATACAAAATTTACACATTTCACGTAAGGTTTTGCCTAAGGAAAAATAGATTAAAATTATGTAAGTACTGATAATTTAGCGATCAAAATTTTATTACTTTTATATATAATTCACGCAAGTATAAAAAAAATTTATTAAAATAAATTTAATAAATTATTTTTAAATCAGCAGATATCATACATTTTTTTATTTAAATTAAATATTTAAATTGTCGAAGATATTTCGGATAAAATATATTTAAAACAAAATTTATTCTGGAGTTAAGAAAATGGTAAAACTTGCAGCAGGTCCTGAGCCAACATTATGATGAATTTTATTTAATTAATAAATTATATTTTTAGGAGCATCATAAAAACTTCAATAAATTGTTCTCGGTAATTATAACATTCGAAGTTTTTTCCATGTACAAATGGGCTATTCATGTTATACAATTACAATATGTCTTAAAGAAAAAACTTGGTATTTTTTTAGGAAAGCGAAACTGAATTCTTTAGCATATAAAACTAAAAATGTACGAAAAAAGGGTTTAAAACCGATCTAAATCTAAAATAAAAACTGTCGTATAGATCAATGTAAACTGACAGTAATGGAAAACTCGATTGGCATCCGTGCAATCGGCCCATAGACTTTACATAGCGAATTTTGATCTGGAATATCTCGGCCCATAGATCGAATTTCAAAATTTCGGTTTATCACAACATCGGCCTAGCCAAGTTGTATATATTTGCAAAAATTCATGTTTAGCGGTAGTGAGGTTACTTTAAACTTCGATCACAGACAAAACAGTTTCTGATTTATGAAGAGCTCCGCTCATTAATCCAAAAATATTATTAAAATAAGGATTTGGACAGTTTGTTTGTTAAAAGAATTATTTACCCTACAGTTTTAATAAATTATTTTTTTTAAGAAATAAATTGTACGAAATATTCTTCTATATGTAATTTTTAATAAAAATGTACACGATTTTCCAAAAAATTTGAAATTAATTAGAATTTGTTAATAATGAATTTAATTAATTTAAATTAAATTATTTCTGTAATTAATTTAAATTTCGAATGCTGTATTAATTCGAAAATATCGTTATATTAAAGCAACTTTTTTTAAATTTTATATTTAGGGTGGCAACGTGCTTACGTTATGTTTACAATAAACACGTGGTCGAGTTTACTATTTTCTGTTGATATTATCTAACCATCTTTACTCCTGAGGAAAAAATAAAATAAAATTTACAAAAAATATACGTATTTTGGAAATGTATAATAAATTCGATTAGATTTCATCTAATAAAGATTTTTGTAAATTTTATCTTATTCTAAAGTTGTTTGAATTTATTTTGAAAACTTTGTAATTTATTTATGAATTTTATTATTAAAGGATCGTTTAATATTCCATATGTACAAGATTCATATGATAATTATGAAGATTTAGATCATCTTTGCCAATTAGATGACTTATATAATGTATCTTTGAATAATCAAGTAGCTAACAGAGTTAGTCTACAACAGGTATGATAAATCCTTAAAGATTTTAATTTCATAAGAGATTTTAATTTCATCCTTTTCAGTTCCTTTTTCACCTTCTGTCTTATTTTTTTCATCTTCTTTCATCCCATCACCATAACAGTCCAAAGTTTGTTTCTTTTTCTTATTTTTATCCATAATCTTTCTCTATTTTTAATCAACTTTTCAATACAAATTGTTCAAAATGGCTTTTGCCACTTTTGAATAATTTTAAAAGGTTGGGTTAAAAATAAATCAAGATTATGGATAAAAATAGGAAAAGTATCAGTGTGGATGATGGTTAGAATTTATTGAGTCAATTATTAATATTCTATTTTATTTACATGTATAAATATGTTAATGGATGNAGGCTTTAACTAAATAAATTTCGAAATAAAAAGCCGTATCGATGGTTCGTAGGATGCGATGCGAGGGTAAAAAATTATTAAACGGTAGGCAATACCGACGAATAGCAATATCAACTTGGTCTTTATTTATTGTTATTTTATAACAAAATTAATTATTCGTTTAAAATATAAACAGGTATACTATTGAGCCAGTATGACTGAAATTGATGAATCAAGTATATTTTTGATAATAATGCAGCTTTCTGATAGCGGTGAGTTGTGGATATGAATTTAATTGTTAAACTGCAATTAAAATTTCATTCTAAAAGTAAATAATGTTCAATTTGCTTTGGGTTTAAAACATATATTTTTTTAAATTGCAAAATTATGTATTTTACAATAATGTAATTATATTAATGATTTATTATATAATAATATTTGCCATGTCGTAATTGCAAATATTGAAATGTGAAAGAACTGTAAAGATATTGAAATATCAAAATGTTAGAAAAAATAATTTATACCCTATGGCTAAGATTGAAAAGTAATAATTAATTTTATTTCTTTTGTACAGATAATTGCAAAGAAAAATTCTTAATCATATGCAATAATCATCTTAGAATAAAAGACAACAAATATACAGAAGGTTTAGAAAATTTCTACTTAAAATAATTAGAAATATTTTCAGAATTTTGCCCTTATTATATTTTTAAATTACCATATTTCACAGTTTATAAGATACGACTTTAGTCCGAAATAGGCTTTAAAAAATTACCATGTGTCTTATATGTGAAATTGCAATCTCTCATAATCTAATGAATTTCCTGAATTGCATGTTTCAATATTTGTGGTCACTGCATGTTTAAATTGTAAGATGTATTTTTACTATAAGCAGCTTTAGCATATCAAGCAGAGCCGGATTTGCATTTTTGTGGGCCTTAGGACGAGCAAGACTTTGGGACCTTTAAAAATAATAATCATCTCTGAAATTAATTTTATTTGACTTATTCATTTAAGGATTTTTATAAATTCTCACTGTACCTTTGTTTTAAAGTAATTTCTTTGTTAATAATTGAAAATCTTGGCAACCTTGTGAAAGCTTCAAAATTTGGACCTGTTTTCTCCAGAATGTAAACAAACAAGAAAAAAGTTTGAAAAACATTCAAAAATTTTAAATTAATGTTTGAAATTGGACATCTTAACGGATTTTCAAATTTGCTGCATCTTCTTTTAGATCTTTTAGAAATGGCTCTTATTTTTTTTTTTTTTTTAAAAGATTATAAAAGTTGAAAACAGATGAATATTTTTGGAGCCTGTAGAATTGTGGGACCCTAGGATGGGCCTAGAACTCTGACTTCAGCATTCTAGGTAAATCTTGTGCCTACCATGGTTTCCTTTAAAGGAAAAAACAGGTGACAATATATGCCTGAGTCTAAATGCACCAGTATGAAGTAGTGGCATAAGAATTCCTCATTACCAAAAAGATTAGCACTCAAAAGTTAGCAGGAAAGAGGAAAGAATAAGTGGCCGTTACCCTAGGGTATAGCCACAGAAGGAAGTGGGCAGGACGACTACTATGGTAGCCTTCACTAGACTTTTGTCAAAGACACCTTGCAGAGAAAGTGCCAGATTACAGAGGCTCATTTTGCTCCATGATAATGTGAGAGTACATACTCTTAGTGGAAGTAATCAAGAAATTCTGGATCACCCAACCTACAGTCCAGATCTGTTACTATGCAATTATTGTTTGTTTTACCTTTTGAAAGAAGCCTTAGAAGACAAGAGAATCACCTATGTCAAGGAGTTTTTATCATGCAGTGGGTTAATACTACTCAAAATGTTTCTATTCTATAGGCATAGAATCATTGCCAAAATCATGGAAAAATGTGTCAGTGTAGAGAAAGAAACATAAATTGGGATTGTGTAAGACAGTTCTATTGTAATCACTGAAATTCCATACAGAAGTTGAACCACTCTTGTATTAATTATATCATCTAATATATGGTTCAATATATTTAATAAACTTATTTTAACTAAAATATTTAATTTTCTATGGCAAGCAAACTCCAATGCAGTTGGTATAGCACATCAACCTTTTTTATGACATTAGTTGACTAAACTTTTTGCATAAACTTTTCTTTAATGACAAATTATTAAACATTTAAATGTAAATAAAATAGCTGGTTGTAGTAATGAAAATAAATCTTTAAAACACTCAGCACATTTATGTAAAAAACTAATGGACTTCGAACTCAAATGTGAGTTTTAAATAAACACTTAGCTTTATTTCCATCACTTTTTAGTTGATTAAAAAGTGATGGAAATAAAGCCAAGTGTTTATTTAAAACTCACATTTGAGTTCAAAGTCCAATATATTTATCAAATACAGTTTCAAAAACAACATAAAAAACTAATGTTTTTAATTCTTTTGCCTCTATGTCTTTATTGAATTCTTTATTATATCATTATCTACATTGGACTCTGTATATTAATAAGACTTATTATACTGGTGTTGTTACCATTTTAGCAAATAGAGAGATCTTATTCAGAAAAACAAAATTTCTTTATTTTTTTAGGTGAAAAAATGATGGCCCTATCTCCAACATTCTTCCCACCCTCAAATCTGATAAACTTAACCAAATATAGAATTTATTTTTCATGATGTATATGTGAAATATACTGTTGTGTTGAGCTCACCCTACCCCCAATCTCAAAAACATGACCAATAAAAGTATTTTAATTTTTTTTTAATTTTAAAAAACGTATTAAAATTATTTAAAATTGGTGTATCAATAATTAATTATTGTATTTGAATTAATATACAATTTTAAAAACAATTGAATTGAACTGATATACAATATTGAGTTAGAAAGTTTTTAGATTTAAGAAAACAAGTGAAGTAGAATTATGTTGTTTATTGTTAACTTATATAAATGTTTTTAATTAATTTTATTTTATAAATTTCATATCCTAAATATTTTAAGATATATTTGGCATTATTTATGTTTATTTAGTTTTAAGTATTTAAAATCTTATTTAAGCAATATTTGCAGCTTATCCAACAGGTGGATTTACACATAGTATGGGTTGTGAAGCATTGCTTCAACGTTCATATATATCAAATAAAAGTAAGCTTTTTCATAGAAATTTTTTTAAAAGTCAATGTGGAATATAATAAAATTAACAAATTTTCAAATGAAATTTTATAAAACAGATAATTATAAAGTGTAGCCATAATACATTATAAATAATTAATTAAAATTATAAGGATTTGTTTAAATATTTTAAGTTTATGTAAAGATTTATTAAAGATATATAATAAATTGTCTTTGTAAATTTTTTAAATTTTAATCCTAAAAGAATATAAAAGATAGTTTAGAAACATAAAAAATTCCAGCAATAAGTTGCTGGGTTTTTTTTATGTTTAAGAAACATTTAGACACATTAGCAAAGTATAAATTGTTGTGTGGCACCATCTGTTACAAGATGTTATTAAAAAAAAGTAACTTTTATAATATTAGTTATTATAAAAAGGAAAAAGACTTAATTTTGAAGGTAGAGATGAGTTTCTTAAGCAATTGTAAAGGCCAATAATGAATAAAATTTTCATTAAGTCTGTCTCCATTTGAGATATGACACACAACCCCCCTATCTTCCCATCCTGTTGATCTTTAACCACCAAAATTTTATAGCATCAATAGACAAACTTCCCTGTAATATTTCAGAAATTTTTGACTAAAGGCACAGAAGTTATTAAGCTTCAGAGTGGGTGAACAAAACTGTGCTCTACACAAACATTTGTACATACAGAAAAACCCACAATTTTTTTTTTTTTTTGCATTTTTCAATGTTTCAATGTCTTGAGTCTAAAAATATAAAAATCCTGGGGTAATTTTTTGATTGATCACCACCATACTTTTCTTCTTTTATATATAACAGCCAGGAAAGTAAAAAGTGTGTTATATAATAACTTCTTTTAGATTTGTGAATTGAATTAAATTGATTTTAATAAAGAATTGCTCTGTAAGTTAACAACTTAATTCCCAAGTTGGAAAGAAACAGAAAAATAGTATAAATTGATTTAAATTATATATTCAAAAACTGTAATTACATATAATTAATGTAATGCTATCTTTTGGATTAACTATGATTAAAGATAAACTTTTGTTTTTTTAGTTGATATCAAGAACGCAATTATTAGTAATTTAGAAAATTCTGGTAAGTATTTAACTTATATATGTATAAAATATATGTAATTTTAATTAATGTTAATTAGATGTTTTTGAAATAACTGGATTAAAGAAAATAAAATATAGTAATTTAGTTCATTCTTAAAAACAATATTATTGATTATCACTTTTTTTTATTAGTTTTCTTTAAATATTATAGAAGCTGCTAGTTATAAAAGAATATGTTATGGCTGATTATGTATTAATGCAATGAGTAAATGCATACATTAACATTTTAATAATTACAAAACTGCCAAAAAAGAAATGGTGAAATTTTCATACTTGCTATATATTACACATTCTAATCAATTTGGTCCATTTTATAATTAAAATATCATCTCACCATTTTCAAATTGCTGTGTCAAAGTACTGGTATAGTGATACTTCTTTGGAGAGATGGAAGGGTTCATAATACAAATCAACATTAGGTAATAAATACAAAAATAAAACTACATAAAGTACATTTTAAAAGATAACAATTGTAGGAAATGCCACATTTTGTTTGAAACTGTACAACATACTACATCAAGCAGGTTAGATGTTTCTAGCGCAAACTGATTACTTGCATTGACAGCCAAATAACAACAAATTATTACTCATGCCACAACCATACCATAAATACGCACCTCAGACAGTCGTAGAAAATAACACACAAAATATACTAAGACTGAGCTGTTATCACAGACAAAAAAGTTCATCACAACACACCAGATATCACATTTATTAACAAACAAAATCACTTATATCTCTTATACATGTAGCTCTTCCAAACATGTACAACATATAAAATACAAAAGAAAATACTGAAAACTCACATATGAAATAAAGTATCTGTGGAGAATGGAATACTTATCATATTCTTAGTTTTTATTGCACAAGTAACTTTATTTCACTTACAGTATATAAAAGTCTGGGAACATTCGGCCTTAAATTACTGTACATTACATTACCAAAAGCAGCCATACTAAACGCATAATTTAGTCAGAAAATTCGTAAATACAGGTACATCACTATACACCAATACAGTACACCAACAACATTTAAACAATATAACAACTTTTTTGAAAGCTATGCTTTGGTTCAAGATAGCAATAGGTAGGAGGTATCAATTGAAAAGAGCCTAATATATCAATAGAATAGTACAGTAATAATAATTTTTATTTTAATTATTTTAGCAAATATTATTAAATGGAAAAAATTTTAATGTCAATAATATCTAATGACTCAAATTCTAGAGTCATTCACTGTAAAGAATTAACATTAAATAAAATTGACAGTTACTTTTTAAATAGTTCTCTGAGAGTCATTATTTGAAAACAATTAGTGTGTATACACACACAGTATACATTTTTATTTTATAAATTTTTATATTTATAATTACTATAAGATGGGGAAATGCTTAAATTTTGAAGATAGGGATGAGTTTTATAAAAAAAGTATAAATGTTAATGAATAAAATTGTCATTAAGTCTGATTCTACTGGAGATACAGATGACCCCCTTGATCTTTAATCACCAAAATTTAATAGCATCAATGCCTCTCATATACAAGTCATCAGGCCAAATTTCATTACTTAATTTTTACCCCATCCTGAGATATTAAGCAAAATAGATGCCAATACACATATATGCACGGAATTTTTTTGCCTTTTTTGGATTCAGGTGGTCTCAAAATGTGGAGATTTGCAATGTACACAGTATATATTCTGTATACTTTGAGTTTTTGATAGTTTGAGGTTGTCTCATTCCCAATCAACTTGAACTATTGATGCTCTACTTTATTAGTATTTACTTGTAAAAAATGTCAGCCTACAAAAATAAATGTAAGAAAGTAAGTAATTGAACTGATTATTATTCATGTAACTAATAATTTATGTGGAATTTCATAATTATAAACTACAGATATATACTCATTATATTGACATTGTTAGATAAAAATAAAATGTATTTAGATTTATAAAAAAATAAATTTTATTAAAAATGTTTTAATATTTCAAANATTAATATTTAGTAAAAGTACTTGCTGAAGTACTTTTGAGCCATTAAGATTATTATCAAGAGAGAAATTACAATGAACTAGCTTGACTGAAAATTAGTTACAATTGTTCACATACATCTGGATGTTGATTTATCTGAAACTATTTACGATGGTTGTTAGAAAAGTTCCCGAACTTTATTTATTACAAAAAAAATACTTCACTTACAATTTATATGTCAGGGTCCCCTTTAAAGTAGTTTCCTCCCCAATGTATACTCTTATCCCAATGGTGTTTCCACTTTTTGAAACAACCCCGAAATGCTTTTTCTGGAATGCTCATAAGCTCCTCTGTTGTTTTTTTTTCTATCTCTGGGATGGTGGCAAATCTTTTTCCTTTCAGCGTGTTTTTTGGTTTGTGGAACAGGAAAAAGTCACATAGGACCAGGTCAGGCAAGTAGGGTGGGGAGAATCACAGAGGTCTTGTTTTTGGCCAAAAACTCTCGCGTTCTGGGGGACAAATGACTGCACGTTATTGTGGTGAAAAAACCACTTGCCACTCCTCCAAAGTCCAGGCCGTTTTCACCTGATTCTGTCTCTCAGGCTTTTCAAGACCCCCAGATAGTACTTCATGTTGACTGTCTTGCCTGTAGGTAGGTAGGTATTCGTGATGCACAACCCCCTTTGCATCGAAAAAAAACAGTCAACATCACTTTAACATTTGAACGAACTTGTGAGCTTTTTTGCAGTGGGGGATGTTTCATCCATCCGTGGGAAGTTTCCGTGAAGGATTTCCCAAGTTTCACACAGAATTTCACAGAACAATGCTGCTCCTTCAAAGAGCTCATTTCCGCATATCCGATTTTTCTCCAAACTGCACAAACACTCCTTCACATAAATGGCTATAACTAATCACCAAAACAAGATATCAACAAACGGATTGGAGGAGGTTACTCGGGAGGTTTCCGCAGACACAACGCCTCCAAACAGATTAAAAAATAACCAACTGGAAGTGCACTATTCAAAAAGTTCGGGAACTTTTTGAACAACCCACGTACACTTCATTTTCTAACTACCCTACCCTCTCTACTATGAAATAAATTATTTAATGTTTTCCATTTTCTTGATTTTTCAATCAAGTTAGTTCACTGTGGTTTTTCTGATGTTGATCTTGGTTGCACAGAAGTACTTGAGAAAGTAAGTTAATCAGCTTCAATAAAACAGAGTTTGAATTTATATAATTTAATAAATTCACATCTGAAATATTTAGGCATTTAAAAAAATTGTACTAGCGATTTTCTATTATTTGTCATTGTCAAAAATACAATATTAACATTAAAAGCTGATTTGCATGTAAAATGGGTTCTGTAACAGCNTTTCATATTTTGTAAATTTTATCTTATTCTAAAGTTGTTTGAATTTATTTTGAAAACTTTGTAATTTATTTATGAATTTTATTATTAAAGGATCGTTTAATATTCCATATGTACAAGATTCATATGATAATTATGAAGATTTAGATCATCTTTGCCAATTAGATGACTTATATAATGTATCTTTGAATAATCAAGTAGCTAACAGAGTTAGTCTACAACAGGTATGATAAATCCTTAAAGATTTTAATTTCATAAGAGATTTTAATTTCATCCTTTTCAGTTCCTTTTTCACCTTCTGTCTTATTTTTTTCATCTTCTTTCATCCCATCACCATAACAGTCCAAAGTTTGTTTCTTTTTCTTATTTTTATCCATAATCTTTCTCTATTTTTAATCAACTTTTCAATACAAATTGTTCAAAATGGCTTTTGCCACTTTTGAATAATTTTAAAAGGTTGGGTTAAAAATAAATCAAGATTATGGATAAAAATAGGAAAAGTATCAGTGTGGATGATGGTTAGAATTTATTGAGTCAATTATTAATATTCTATTTTATTTACATGTATAAATATGTTAATGGATGAAATAAAATATTAATTATCATGTGCCACTGATGCTCAATGTCACCAAGCTATTCCTTGCAAATAAAGTTATTGTTTGATCATCATCATTTCAAAAAATATGATTATAACTGTTATACTAATTTAATTTTTAAGACAATAACTTGATTAAATTTTTTCTTTTTATTGATTTCAGGGAAAATCTATGCTGTTTACTTCTAAAGAGACTTTCAAATGTACCAATTTTTCAAAATTTCAGTCATTGATTGACAGTGGAAACATAAATGGACACCATGTAAGATTAGTGAAGAATTAGTAATTTAAATTATATTTGCATATCATTCTGTAATTGGTAGCATGTATTTTATGCATATGCATATATATATAAATATAGTGTATTCATATTACTCAATTATTTATTTAAACCATTATATACTAAATACATTAATTTGATATTAATAGGACATTTAAAAAAAATTATTGAGACTATTTTAAATTTTTAAAATTTTAATTGAATAATTTAATTAAATCATAATGTTGAAAATTTGGATTATTGGTTTTATTCAAATAATAAGTGTTCTCTAAAGCTTAAAATAATAAACACCCCTGAATAGTAGCTGCATGTACTATTCAAGAATTTAAGGTTAACAATGTAAACGTAATAAATATCATAAACTATGGTTGGTAGATACCTTATATCTATTAAAGTTTGTTTGTTTAAACAAGCTATAATAGAAAATGAAACATGTAAAATGTACAATATAGAGAAGGTGTATTTTTAAAATATTTTATTACTACTGGTATATAGAAAGTAACACTTATTATAATGAAAGCTAACAGTTGCCATACATAGACATCTATTAACCTGATTTTTTAATGCCAAACAATTGCCAGATTATAATAATTATTATAATTATAATCTAGTTTAAATTTATCAATAGGTGGCACCTAATTATAATTAATTTATATAATTAAATTTATCAAGAGGTAACTCCTAACACATACCTCTAGGCCAAATTATTTGATATTTAATTATTAATAGTAGCATTATTATAACCAGATGTAATCCTGCAATCGTTTGGCACCAGTTGCCATTTCAGGTATATAAATATTTAAATACTTTATTAATATTGAACATCAGATAGATATGTGCAAAGAAAATAGTAACTACAGAGAAAATATGAAGTTTAAAATAGTAGTCATGACTATTATTCAAATAAAACCAGTACATTTAAAACAAACCTTAATTCACAGGTGATATTATATAAATATGTCGTGTAAATTTTATAAAAGATAGTTATTATTTGGCTATTAACAGAACTATCATATTCTTGGGCTATAATTAAACTAATGATTAAGCCAAATTATAGAATTTTGTATGTAAAGATAATCATTAGGCTGTCATTTTGGCTACGGATTAATTACAGAAATTAAAATTAATTAAACTAAATAATTTAGGATAATCTAGATGAAAAGACACTTAGAATGGGACTTTAACTGGAAAATTCTGCAATTCATACAGTCATAATCAGTTGTGGGTTTGAATTTGTTTTGTTGTTCTTAATCATTCATTTAATCATTCAAATCATGTTCTCTGTCCTGCAAAATTTCATATTGATTATTCAATTACTTAACTTTCATTTGTTTTCATAATAGTTACGTAATATGTGTATATTTGAAAAAAAAAAATGTCAAGATTTTAATAAGCTTTGCATTCTATCTATTTAAAATGAAATGTTTCTGTATAAAATAGCATTTTGTACAGAAACACTTTTTTACAGAAAGATAAGATTCTATTAAATTAATCTTTTCTTATACATTTCTTATAGAGGGTGCAACACTTATGTAACTAATGAATGCAGATAACTAAGTTGTAAATGTGAATGTATAATTATAATAAAGTGACTATGTGCTACAAGATGAGACTGCTTGCAGTGCCTTAGTGGTAAAATTTGGAAGTTAACACTCCTGTCTTGAAAACAATTTTCTGTATCATACAAGTTAAAATGAGAAATACATATTATAAGTAAACACATGAAAAATGAATGAGAAAACATGAGAAATATACGTGTTACTGTCTGTGCTAAATATGAATATTAGCATTTCAAGCTTTCTATTTATGCTATTCATGTACTGTACAGTACATAGGGTCTTTTCATACTAAATTGGTCCTGCTTTAGAACTTTAATTGAAGTCTTTGTGCTGCATTTATTACTGTGTTGTGCATTATTTCACATGTCAGTGTATTAGGATTTTACTATGCATCTGGTATTAAACTTTATAGATATAAATTTTACCCAATCTTTTTGAAACATCCTCTACGTGATATCTTAAGAGGATAAGATGAACAAATGACCTAAGTAAAAATATGCTTAAAGCAACCATTTTTAAGTTACTTGCAAAGGTTTAACAAACATTAAATTTTAGAAAAGCATAACTTTGATATTATACAAAGAATTTATTTTATCAGTAATAATGAACAGCAGCTCTGGGAAAGGTTAGAAGTCTTTAATATAATACAAAACACTGATGGATTTTAGAAAGGTTATACAAATTAACAAAGCATTAAGCAGAAGTATCAGAACAGGCAGAGATCATTTGGAACACTTTTTAACATTTAGAATATCTTTTACAAAAATTCATATTCCTCAGTTATAAAATTTTTATAATTGAGGTATATGAATTTTTAATATAATTTGAAAAATGTATAAACTTATTTCTCTGTTTGTTTGAAGTAAATAAACTTTATATAATATGCAATTAGTTTTTAGGCATACAGGTAACCCCCCGTATAACATGGGAGTTATGTTCCAAAAAATTGCCGTGTTATATGAAACAAAGAACTAGTGCAAAAAGGGGGGTTAGGTTCCAAAAATTAAAAACCATGCTGTTAAATCCTTCTTTAAATCAGATTTATTATTCATTTTTTTTTAATGGGTAAAATACTTATTTATTATTTAAGTAAAAATTTTACCAGAGGATTATTTATTCTATATGATGATCTCAGCATGAGCATCATCAACTGGTAGCAGTTTTTGGGTGCATTTGTTAATAGTGGTCGGTCTGCATCTCCACTACAATGGGAGTGCGTTGCTGTTTGTAGGCTTTTAGGAATGACAGTGAAAGAAAGAAAGATGGTGGTGCCCACACTATAGATAGTATCGTGATGGAGGAATCTATAATTCTAAAATATGAGTTTTTAGAGGTAAAAGAAGGGTCACAATTGTAAAATCCTGACTGTGCCTAGCGGTGTCAGGCATAATAAAGTTTATTTTGTTTGTCTGTCTGTAAAATTTAACCATTAAATGGATTATTTGTTGAAAGAGCATTCAAAGTAGCCACGAAAAAATTAGAATGCTCACGCGGAGGTATAAAAGAACACACCCTTTATTACATTTTATGTTGTACAAGGGTTTTACCCAATTTCCGAACTCTGTTAGAGTGAACCCGTGCTATAAAAGCACCGTGTTATATGGTGATGTTCTCAATTCTCAAACTGTGTTAGAGTGAATCCATGCTATAGAAGTGCTGTGTTATATGGGGGTTACCTGTATATTACTAGGATATTTTTATTGATGATCCTGTTAAAAGATGGTATGAATTTTTTCCAATGTTTTTGAAACATCTTATGTAAATATGTAAGAGAAAGAATTATTATTATTTTCATGTATTTACAGGCCATTGTGTTTGGATTTATATGTGCAGTTCTAAAGATATCAAAACCTCATATGTTACAAATGTATTTATTCACTGTTTTACGGACAATAATAACAAGTCTTGTTCGATTGGGATGTATTGGACCTATTGAGGTGAATTACAAAAGATAAAGCTTCATAAAAGTTCAAAATTTATAAGTATAAAAACAAAATAAATTCCTCTCTTATAATGTCACTATTAAATTAATGTTTTAATATTAGTCTTAATACACTAATACTTATTGTTACAATTTTAGTGTTACTACACAATTAAACCTTTAGGGCTTATCACACTAAGTTGACAAGAAGAGTTTATTAATTAATTAATTAATCAATCATATACATTTATTTACATAAATACATTAAGTTTTATGTACACAATTACTAATATAAAATGCATTAATAATAAGGAATAAATGTTATTGATAGAGATTAAAATTTGTGGACTGGTACATTAATTTAAGTAAGATAACTTTATAATGTAAAGATATATTTAAATTAAATTTTGTTCTAATAAAATGTTTGTATGGTATAGAGAAAAGGAAAATGTAGAAGAGAGTTTTTGGAATTGTAATTACAACAAGGTGAAGAGTGATTTTTTTTAAATGCTGTGGGTTTTTTACAAGTTTGGTTTTAACTTTTGATTGTCTTTGTTATATATCTGTTCTAATTTTAATAGATGTTATACACCTAATGTTTAAATTACCAAATTGTCTAACTGAAGAGAGGCCATTATAAAGCCCGAAATGCATTTTAGATTGGTAATTGTGTACATAAAAGTTAATGTATTTATGTAAATCGGTGTATATGATTAATTAATAAACTCCTCTTGTCAACTTAGTCAGTGTGATAAACCCTAAAAGTTTAATTGTGTAGTAACACAAAAATTGTAATAGTTATAATAGGAACAAGAAACTATAGTAATATAACACTAATACTTAATTATAATTAAAACAAATCAATATTTTAAAATCAAGATTTCTTGAATTACAAAATTCATGTTTTTCTAATTTTTTTTTTTAATATTAAATGTTTATTTTCTGCTATAAATTGATTACATTGCCATCTCTCTTGACTCAAATCAAGTATATACACTATTGCTACAAAAGGAAAGTTTAAATGATAAAATAATAGGAATTTGGTTTATAGTACATTTTTTAATGCATAAAACTGACTGGATTGAAGTTTTAATGATTAATTATTCACATATAGTCATTATAGTCAAATTAAAATGTATGCATACAATTTTAATTCATCACACAAATGTAAATTGTCATCTGAAGCAGACTACAAACTTACAAACCATACTTTATTTGAATTATCTTTATCAATTTCATCAAAAACAATCAAATATTAGCATGAATTATCTGTTTTGTCTAGAAAGTAAATATTTTTGATTTTAAAAAATTCTGTGCAAACATTAAGAAATTTAGAAACTGGTTGAAATAATTATTATATTGTTTAAATAGCGTAAACATGAATTTTATTATTTTAGTTATATTTTGCTAATATTAATACATTAAATTTTTAANTAATTATATTAAATCATTACTTATTTTTGCAATATATGAATATTTCATGTCATAAGTAAATGGGCTTCTGTCAAAAATCTTTTAAAATTTATTAAATTATTGGAACTATTCAAAAACATTATTGGTTTTCATCTTCAGACTGACTTTTTATGCTTTCAGCCTCAATACATGGCCGATAAGTGACGTCAATTATACGTTCTCATCTTAAAAGCTGTTTAAATCATTGGTTAATTATTTGCTTGCAGTATAATAGTTTAAATTATTGGCCAATATATTCTCAAACAAATATAATTTCTGGAATGATATACAGAAATTAGTATAATATAGATTTATTTGGATTGTATACAGTAAATGAAATTATATTATAGTATGTAATGAAAATATATATAAATGAAATATTTTTATAAAGAAGTTATTCAAAAATATTTTCATTTTAATGTATAAAAAACATTATATGTATAAAATACAAATTTTCAAGATATTTTAAGAATAAGAAAATTATAAGTCAATATTAAATAGAGTTATATTGATATTGACAATGTATTGATAATTTATAGATAATTATTAATTTACTGTCAAGGAAAAAACTTGTTAACATTTATATAATATAATGTAGTGCAGACTAATTGTAGACTCTCAATAGTTTGAGGCACTACCACCCTGGTGCCAAAGTATGGTACATGTACACAACCAATGTGTGTAAAAATACATATTTGGGTAATTTAAATCAAGGGGTGATGAGATATATTGAAATTTTAGGCACACTAATGCCTAAAATTTTAATATATCTCATCACACACTTAAGTCTAACATCAGCTTTCAGTTTATTGCATTGTAAAATGATATGGTTGCCACTTACTTCTTATTGTACAAGACATCATGTATTTTAAGTGCAATATATTATTATTAGCCAATAAAATAAAAAATCCAGCAATGAATTGCATAACTTTCCCAGCTCTGACATTATCAATATAACTTAAAATTGTGTGTGGCATCGTCAGTTATGAGATTTTGTTATAAAAAAACTTTATATATTTTTAATTACTATAAAATAGCTAAAAGCTTAATTTTGAAGATAGGGATGAGTTTTATAAAAAAAGTATAAATGTTAATGAATAAAATTGTCATTAAGTCCGATGTACTGGAGATACACATGATCTTTATCTCCCCACCCCCTTGATCTTTAATCACCAAAATTTAATAGCATCAATGCCTCTCATATACAAGTCATCAGGCCAAATTTCATTACTTAATTTTTACCCCATCCTGAGATATTAAGCAAAATAGATGCCAATACACATATATGCACGGAATTTTTTTGCCTTTTTTGGATTCAGGTGGTCTCAAAATGTGGAGATTTGCAATGTACACAGTATATATTCTGTATACTTTGAGTTTTTGATAGTTTGAGGTTGTCTCATTCCCAATCAACTTGAACTATTGATGCTCTACTTTATTAGTATTTACTTGTAAAAAATGTCAGCCTACAAAAATAAATGTAAGAAAGTAAGTAATTGAACTGATTATTATTCATGTAACTAATAATTTATGTGGAATTTCATAATTATAAACTACAGATATATACTCATTATATTGACATTGTTAGATAAAAATAAAATGTATTTAGATTTATAAAAAAATAAATTTTATTAAAAATGTTTTAATATTTCAAAATTTTAACCAATTGAATAGTTAAAACAGAATTTAAAATAACTATATTATTTCATACAGTTTAACAATTCATAATTTTGTAAAATTTATAGNACAACTGTAATTTGATCCATTATAATTAATTTTAAGTCATTTTCTATATCTTTTATTCTTATTTTTATCTCTTATCTCTTATCCTTTCAGAAAAAAAAGTTGTTTGAATGCATATTTTATTTGCTTGAATAATTTCTAAATTAACTAATGTCATAAACAAACATCACTAAACCAAATAAATTTGTAAAGCCAAATGTCATTCGAATTCCCATCTGGACCTTATCCAATTTTACAAATACATTTAAAACAGATACAGCTTTATATACTTTTTAATTTAATGAAATGCAATTTAAAATAAAAATTGCATGCAAAATAAATGACAAATTTTCATATAGAAAATTTTTATTATTATCTTTATATACTTTTTAATTTGTTTAACATGTTTGTTTAATGTTAGTGATGATAAAACCAGAATTTTCAACAAGTGTAATCTCATTTAAGAAAAAACTTTATTTTACTGGAGTAACAATACATTTTACATCCCAAGCACTTTTGGATTGCCAAAGTCTATCTTCAAGGAGACAAATACAAAAAATAAACGGATGTTAAAGGAAATTCAGTCTTTTAATCTAATCTTATGTAACTTGTTTAATGTTATTGGTATAGGAGAGTCTCAGAATGATTACAATAAGTGGATTCTACAGCATTCTAATCTAAACTGTATAGTAGTAATTATAACAAGCATTTTAATCTTTCAGTGTGTGCTAATTTATCATAGATAATATTTTTAGCATTTAATACAAATTTAAAAAAATAAAAACTAAATGAAAATCCATTTCAAATTCAAAGTTTATTTTATCTCTCTCAATATACATTAACAATTATGCCATAATTTATGATAGTTTTAATTATAATTATATTAAATCATTACTTATTTTTGCAATATATGAATATTTCATGTCATAAGTAAATGGGCTTCTGTCAAAAATCTTTTAAAATTTATTAAATTATTGGAACTATTCAAAAACATTATTGGTTTTCATCTTCAGACTGACTTTTTATGCTTTCAGCCTCAATACATGGCCGATAAGTGACGTCAATTATACGTTCTCATCTTAAAAGCTGTTTAAATCATTGGTTAATTATTTGCTTGCAGTATAATAGTTTAAATTATTGGCCAATATATTCTCAAACAAATATAATTTCTGGAATGATATACAGAAATTAGTATAATATAGATTTATTTGGATTGTAGATCAGAACAAACAAACTTGGGAAATTCAGATTTTTTGAAATATTTAATCCCATTTGAAATTTTAAAATTCATTTTTAAACTGTTATTCAATTTAAGTATTCATAAGCCATGTCTTTTTATCTTTTTTAAATATTGAATTCTAGAAGAAATGATATGTATTTTATTGATATAAAACAATTATATATTTATATTGTAAAAGTACAAAAATTATATTTTGTAATGTAAAATGAATTTTTTAAGATAAAAGAAAAGCAAAACTGAGCTTTAAATAAATAACAATTCAAAGATGACAAAATAACATTTCACTTT